TAGCGTCGCACTTAACATCTTACCTTCAAAAAAAAAAAAGATTCTCGACCAGTGGAGAACATCAAGAGTCATTCTCTTCAAGAAGGGCGAACGGGAGGGTCTTCGAAACTACCGTCCAACATGCTTGCTAAGTGTGCTTTACAAGCTTTTCATAAAGATTATCCTCGCTCGCATATCTGGGACATTGGATAAAGCCCAACCTCAGGAACAAGCTGGATTGCACAGAGGAGTCAGTGGCATGGAACACATCCAGACGGTTTCGAGGGTTATAGAAGTCTGCCGGGACATCCAGACGGTTTCGAGGGTCATAGAAGTCTGCCGGGAAATCCTTCGACAGTGTCGAAACAAACGCAGTTCTGTCAGCGCTAATCGATCAAGGAGTGGACCAAGCTTACGGAGGACGTTAGCCGACTGCTACAAGGACTGTACAACGGCGATGCATCTGTTCCATCGCCTCCTGACTATTTTAATTGAAAAGGGGGTCCAACAAGGCGACACAACTTCGCCGAAGCTGTTCACCGCGGCCTTGCATTGGGTGACGAAGTCACTGAACTGGGACGAGAGAGGCATACAAGTTGGTGGGAGATTCTTATCAAAAACCATCGTTTTGCGAACGACGTCGTTCTATTTTCGAATAGTATCACTGGAGCGAGACGATGCTGAATGAACTAAACGAAGTAGGGAAGAAGATTGGATTGCGAATAATCGGAAGAAGACTCAGTTCATGGAGAAGGCCCTTTGCGAAGATGCGGAAATGGAACTGGAAGGCACTCCGATTACGGAAACGCATTCCTACGTGTACCTGGACGTTTGATGAAGATGGAGAACGACTTGTAGGAACAGAAGAACAAGACAGAAGAAGAACAGAAGAACAGACAGAAGAAGAGGGACAGCCAGGGCCGCCTTCGGGCCTCTGAAGGAAGCCACTAACCAACTACGGACGTAGAGCTTCGTCCCCACGTGTTCGACTCTACCGTTCTCTCGGCGCTTTGTTACGCAGCTGAGACTTAGGCCGAAACTGTAGCCACGTCGAAAGCTCTACCTCAGACAATTCGTCTAGGACCTTTGCTGGGCTT